TTATTATTATTATTATTATTATTATTATTATCTTCTGCCTCTTCCTGAAGTGTTTGAAATCTTACTGGTACTGTACGATTCTCTGGTTTCTGTACTGTAATTTGTTATTGCAAGCAATAAAGGGTTTGTTTGCTTAGTAGTTTGTATGAGATTGCTCAAAAGCATTCCTTTTGCTTACCTGCGTCTGAGTTATGTATTTTGTAGGACAATTAAATTGGCTACATGATCACAAAATGCAATTGAAAATGAATGCCAGGATGTCACCTATGAATTGTTCATCACTTCTCTGTAGATTCTCGCATCAATCGTCGGTGATACTTAGAAATGTAGATCACCAAACATGTGAATCTGCATTTGCAAGTACACGTCAACATAGTGTATTCACTCGTCGATGGCATTTGCAGAATATACGCATATATCTATACAGTATCATATTATCAAATCCTGCTTCAAATTTTGAATGTGTGAATCACAGTAGAATTACTATGATAAAGACAAACCGGGCAAAGCAAAAATTATTAAAAATGACTCAACAAACGACAAACACTACAAAGCAACTATAAAGAGTACATTGTAAAGAAGACAAAATAGAAGTTTAAAGAAGTTTTAAGGTATATTCATGATCAATCTCAATTTGTCAAATTCTTATGATAACATATAAATATTGGATATCGATAGTGTTTATTATGTTTGTAATTTATTGTAGGTTTTGATAAGTCATACGACATTGACAAGAGGCAAGATGGACCTAAAGATGGACAATAGAACAAAAATGATTATAGTGACTGTTTGTAAGATCACCTTACATCTAAGTGAAGCTATTATTACATTGGATACATATTATTTTATTCTTATTATTATTAAAAATATTATTTATATTTCATGTTTGGATAGTTAGTGAATATAAATTAATTTTTAAAAATAATTATTGTTCAATAATATTGGATGATAAGATCATCACTGGAGGAACATTGTATAATAGTTTATTTATGCTCAATAGTGCTCTATATATCATGAATGTGTCAAAAAAAAAAAAACGATGTGGAATAGTATATACTTGTAGTATTGTAGGTTGGGTCATATCCACTAAGGAAAAATCTAAAAATTATTGAATGATGGACATGTAGATCTGTTCGACTATGAGTCATATGCGAATATTACAAAATATGATAATTTACGTAACAAAATATAAATTATCTATTTTTTAATAATTTATCTAAATTTCTTTTGCTTAACAAAAATATAATAATAATTATCGATAGATAAAACAAATCCCTCTTACGATTAAGGTAATTACAACAAATCAAATACAAATCGAATGCTACTGTGGATTGCATGACTCAAAAATCAAATCAAAGATAACACCATAATAATTTTTCAAACTTTTCATAATAATTTTTTTATAAAATTTATTTTAGGGAAGCATATTGATAACTTAAATTTTATAATTAAATAAAAAATTAATTTAAGAGTTTTACATGGTTGAAGTTAACGTAGTAAGTTGATCCTCTATAAATGGAGAGCTAATATATTGGTTTCAAAAGTTAATGTAATGCTTTAGAAACAATAAGAAAATGGAAAGACGAGGTATAGTCAGGAAAGATTGAGAAATTTAGGGTTTTAATAGATTATAAGTTCTTATGATTAACAAGAGTTTATAGTTTACAAGTGTCTATATTTTTTTCCTTGATATAGTTCCGGCATTCCCAAGTTTGTGAGAGTTGTTGCTTTTCTTTTCCTTTTCTTTTTCCCTTTTCCTTTTTCATAGTAGAAGCAACCTATTAATTCGAGATGCTAAGGCCGAGGACAGGATAAAGTTGGTCGATCCATTGAGTGGGATGGAAGCAGCATATATTCTCTATAGTTTGTTTCGAATTAATACCGAGGACAGGATAAAGTTGGTCGATCCATTGAGTGAGATGGAAGCAGCATATATTCTCTATAGTTAGTTTCTAGTTAATACCTGACTACATGCCAATTGATGATGATATTCTAATCTAATCTATAACACAAAGCAGCAACTGATATATTTATATGAGTATATTATAAATTATGTGAATTTGGACTTCCCTAGCTAGCTAGTGCACCTAACTTCTTTGTAATCTACCATTATAAATACGTACATAACAGAAATTTAAGATATGAATTGTGTATTATTAGCAGGAGTCCTTACCGTCTTCCCCTTGTGCTTCGTCAATCATTTCTTGAACTCCCTTTCCCGCACACTGATAATTTACCCTTTGGGATCCACCTGCACGATCTTTTGATAGACAAAAGTGTGGCTTAGTATGTGGGAAGTTTCCTTGGGTGGCCCCTCGCACAAGAAAGTTATCAACTGTATAAATAAAGAGCTCAGGAGGCAATGTCTCGATGCCTTCACCATCCCCGGACACAAACTACCCCCCCCCCCACCCCCTAACACTTACTCCGGTCTATATAGCGCACATGATTCACGGTAAGCAAAACACAAAAAATGTCTTAGCTTTTAGAACCTAACATTTCTCATTTACTTGATGTTATTTAAACAGCATAAAAATATATAATTATATTGACTAACGTAATTTCAAGATCAAAATCAAATTATATTGACATCATCGTAACTTTCAAATCTGATAACGATACACCAACAAATTAGATAAAGGTTTTATGAATAATATCAAAATATATGTACTATATATTCATTTGATTTTATTTGTTGATATTAAGAATTTTTATATAATAATATAATTATAGTTTTTATGCTTACACTATAAACTTGTTTATACTATTCTTTTTATATCTGTTGATGACAGAAACCGAATTTGAATTAAGCTAGCGTTCCTATGGAGAAATTGGTCGACTATTTTGTTCTCATATTCGTCGAGCAATAATTCTCGTTTCGCTTCTTCCGAGAACCTTAGTGTACGTCGAGGTTGGCGGAGACACCAGAGAAGGAAAGCAAGAACAAAAATAAAAAGAAGCTGAAGATAAGTATTGCAGAGGAGAGGATTCCTTTTATATCTGTTCATGACATGAGCCGAATTTGAATTAAGTCAGCGTTTCTCTGGAGAAATTAGGTTGGCTATTTTGTTCTCACATTCGTCGAGCAAGCAATACTTCTCTGGATCCCTTGCTTCGTTTCTTCCAGGAACCTTGGAGTGTACCTGAAGGTTGGGGGAGGCACCAGAGAAGGAAAGCAAGAGCACAAAGAAAAAGAAGCTGAAGATGAGTAATGCAGAGGAGAAGTTCGAGATAATTACAAGTGAGGAATGGTTAAGCTCGTTGAAGAAGAGGGTAGACGAAACAAAATGGATGGATTGGCGCACCGATGGGCCGACCATCTTCAAAGTCCCTGGAATCTTTCAAGAGGCAAATTCGAATGCATATAAGCCCAGGATGGTGTCGCTCGGCCCCTACCACCATCGCAACATACACCTGAAAGCTATGGAAGATCTGAAATGGCACTACCTCCAGAAATTCCTGGGCCGAAACCCCGGCAAATCACTGGAAGACTACATCGAGCAGATAAAAAAAAGAGAGCTCGAGGCACGTATGGCCTATTCAGAAAAAGTGGCCATGACTAGTGATGAGTTCGTTCAGATGATGCTGCTTGACTGCTGTTTCGTGATCGAGATCATACACTCGTATGTGGAAAAACGAGAAGAAAAAGAAGAAGCCGTAGATAAACAAATTAGATGTACGCGGTCATGGTTCCGCACTGCGCGACCGATGCATTCCGTGGCCGCCCAACCGCGGCCACTGATGCATTCCATGGCCATGCGACCGACGTATTCCCTGTTGGCGCGACCGATTCCGATGTTAGGAAACCAGCTTAGAACGGATGAGAAAGCAACAGAAGCTGAGCATAATCCAATTACAAGCACGTGGTACACTCTACCAGTGGTCGTGCAAGACATGCTGATGCTGGAAAACCAGCTTCCTTTCGTTCTCCTCCAGACTCTGTTCCACTCGGCTTTTCCTAAATCACCTGATCGCCTAGAAAATTGGATATTCGAATTCGTCAGCAAATTCGTGAAAAGCAAGATTGAGAATCCCACCAATATCAGCGATGTGAAAATTCACCATATACTTCATCTTTTGCATTGTTGCCTTGACCCATCAAAGATACGAGATGGCGGTAAACCTCCCTCATCCCTCTGGCACAAGCCTAACTGGAACAACTTACGTCTCTCTCGAGAAGATAACCACCCAACTCCCCTGCTGAAATGGATTCCAAGTGCGACGCAGCTGATGGAGGCTGGAGTACATTTTAGGAAGAAGGAGGCCACGAACTTCTTGGACATCACCTTTCAGAACGGTAAGATGGAGATCCCCTTACTTCAGGTAGATGACGACACCGAGACCTTCCTCAGGAACCTCATAGCATTCGAGCAGTGCTCCAAGAATGTCAGTCTTCATGTCACGGCCTACGCGGCTCTCATGGATTGCATCATCAACACCGCCGCCGACGTCGCGTTGCTCCAGCAACATGGGATCATCCTTAGCGGTTTGGGCGACGGCAAGCAAGTCGCTGATCTATTCAACAAACTTTGCAAGGAGGTGACGTTGGACTACGAGAAAAGTTATGTTTCAGGCATCTACAAAGATGTCAACAAGCACTGGACCAACAAATACAACCAATGGCGAGCGAGGCTTAATCATGATTACTTCAGTAATCCTTGGGCGGTCATCTCGGTGTTTGCAGCTATCTTGCTCTTCGGTCTCGCCATAACGCAGACCATCTATTCTGCTCTGAGCTATGTTCGACCGCCAAGTTAGTCTCCGTATTATTATTATTATTATTATCTTCTGCCTCTTCCTGAAGTGTTTGAAATCTTACTGGTACTGTACGATTCTCTGGTTTCTGTACTGTAATTTGTTATTGCAAGCAATAAAGGGTTTGTTTGCTTAGTAGTTTGTATGAGATTGCTCAAAAGCATTCCTTTTGCTTACCTGCGTCTGAGTTATGTATTTTGTAGGACAATTAAATTGGCTATATGATCACAAATTGCAATTGAAAATGAATGCCAGGATGTCACCTATGAATTCTTCATCACTTCTCTGTAGATTCTCGCATCAATCGTCGGTGATACTTAGAAATGTAGATCACCAAACATGTGAATCTGCATTTGCAAATACACGTCAACATAGTGCGTGTATTCAGTCGTTGATGGTATTCGCAGAATATACGCATATTTCTATACAGTATCATATTATCAAATCCTGCTTCAAATTTTGAATGTGTGAATCGTAGTAGAATTACGCCTGCTGTTCTTGTAATATATACAATAATATGATTTGACTAGGAAATCAAGGAAATAACATACAAACAGACCATTTAGCTATTAATGCTATTATCATATAGTAAATCTTTTTTTATATAATTTCTCTATCATCCTAATTTGGTCGACAGAATTTTATATAATCACTTATGTCTTTACACCTCTTAATTAAATAGCATATAGGGTATTATTAAAATCGAATTAAACTGACATCAGAATGGTCTAAAACTAATTTAGTCGATTTGATTTTGATGATTATAAATAGTTTCAATTCGAGGTATTCTTCTTAAGTTTGATTAGTCGATTTTATAAATTATATGAAATAATGATCAAACTAGGCATACAACAATAATATTAGCCCACTTTTAATACTATAATTTCATCAAATTTAAGTAGTTAGAGTTTTAAGAAACAGAACACAATCACAAGATCCACCATTAATGTTGAATAATGAGTTATCACCATCATCACTGTAGAACTCAATTAGATCATCAATCTGCTATACAAAATTGGTATCACCTTCCAATCTACTCCTATAATATAAAGCGATAATATCAGTGATACCTACTTATATGTCAACCTAGTGTTCCACTCACGTATGAAACATATTGTTATTAACTTCACTTTGTTATACCTACCTATATGTCAACCTAGTGTTCCACTCACGTATGAAACATATTGTTATCAACTTCACTTTGTTATACCTACCTATATGTCAACCTAGTGTTCCACTCACGTATGAAACATATTGTTATCAACTTCACTTTGTTAGAGATCAGGTTATCATACGTCAACTATGTATTTCTCACATACTTCTAACCAATTAGTATATTCTTTTGTAAAGTATTTTGTTCATAGGATATTTCAGTTACATCGATCAAAGATTGATATCCTTGACAAAAGCTTAATCTTGCGAGAGCATGATAAAAACAAATATGAAATGACAACTTTGAATTTCTTATATGCCCTAATCCTCAAGCAATCTAATCTAAGATTTGAGGATCACTGAGTTGAGTGCATGATTTGAATGCAAGATTGAAAAAAATCTTTTCCTCGATATATATATATATATATATATATATATATATATATATATATATATAATCTTAATAAATGATATATTCCTTTTACAATAAAAGATATATATCATTTATTGAGAATGCATGATTTGATTAGTTGGTTGTATGTGATATTCTTATATTCTATATACAGGGTGTTAGGATTGCAAAGTATTTTTGATTTACGAGAGCCCAAGTATCCTTGAATGATAAAGAATCATGGTTGAAAAGATGTGAAAAAATACCTCATATAAAAACAAAGATTTCTTATAAAGGAAGAAAACTCTATAAACTAGGGTTTGACTATGCTATACTAAGTGAATGATGATTGTGATTATTCTTTTTGTCAGAGAATATCGAATTATGTAAATCTTATGTTGATCTTTAAATATATTTTTAATTATTAATCTATGTAATTTCTCTTGATTTTAAATCTTCTCTCTCGTGGAGTGATTACTACAAGTATTCTTTTGTTTTTCGTCTTTATTCTAATCGTATGTTTTATGAGATAAAATATGATGTCTAAATACTATCAAAAGTGATATGTGCTCTGAACTATGTATGTTTTTGGTACAACACTATTTAAGTTGTAGTTGTTGTAGAATCATTTACAATCTTTCGTTGCAAAATCATTTATAATCTTTAAAACCGAATCATTATTGAATCAGTTTGGAACTCATTCGATTTAGGTTTGATTTGGTTTTTGAATTCGATTTGAATACCCCTACCTACCAATCGCATCGATCTCATCGTGATCATCTCCTTCTCCTCTACGTAGCCCCTTCACTCATCATGATCATCTCTACCCCATTCCTTAGGCCTAATGGTTTCGTCCTGTTGTGATCTACCTATGGATATTTAAGGTATTAAAGAAAAGAGCAACAATCCAAGAAAAAGTCGATTGAGAGGTTTTTTCATCAAAATTGCTCCTGAACATTCCTATACTAACAAGAAAACTCTCATGAACACCACGCAAGCTAGTGTTACATTTGACGAAGTAAGACGTATTGAATTGTCATGGGCACCTAAAACATGTCCTCTTTGTTCTTTATATTATTAAAATAAAAGGCCGGGGTCAATAGAATACACTACTTTCAGCGTATATAACATGACAACTTCAAATCTATTTATAGGGCAACGAGTCTAAGCAAGAGTAGAGTAATTGGTTCAGTTTAATATATAATAACCCCATGCTCCAAAAATAAAGAAACAATAACCCCACGGTTCAAACTATAATGCCTGCGCATGCAGAACAAAGCTTATAAAGCTCTAACACAGATTCCTAAACATAGAATAATATATTATTAATTATAGGATTAAAAAAAATATCCACAGTTTTAAGACATCAAATTTCTTGACTCAATCCCCTTTGATTCCTCAATTTTGTGACATTAAATTTTCTCTTTTGTTTCCCCTTGAAAGGTTTTTTTTACTTTTGTGACAAAAAAAAGAAGAAGAAGAAAACAGCAAGAGTACTGTGTCCTTTTTTTGGATGCAGAAAGTTCCCACTGCTTTCTTCTCTGGTGGGCTTCCCACGCCTTCTGCACCTTTAAGAAACCTGAAGAGAAACCACAAGGATTGCCTGCCCATCACCCCTTCTGCCTCTCCCAAGGACGAGACCAGCAAAAGCGAGAAATGGGTGTCGAGAGGCGAACTTTTGTTTTCCTTCTTCTGTTCCTCCTCTCTCTGCTGCTACAAAGTCTCACTTTTGCTAAAAGGGTAGGCATTTCATGACATCCCTTCAAAATCCCCCTTGTAAAGATCGCTTTTTTCTCTATGCTTTCTTGTTGAAATCTCGTTTCCTGATGGCCTTTTTCCTGCCTGCTTTGGTTCATTCCATTCTCTTGAGTTCTTCTTCCTCTGATGCAGTCTTATGTTGTCTACTTCGGAGGGCATTCCCATCGGTCGGAGGAGGCCCCTTTGCTCGCCCATGAGCGAGTCGTGAACTCCCATTACGAGTTCCTCGGCTCATTCTTGGGGAGGTAAGAGATCCTGTCAGAGGCATTCTGGCTCCTCTTCTTCATCTCAATCAATCATCTTGCAATGCAGTAAGGAGAAGGCCCAAGACGCCATCTTTTACTCCTACACAAAGTACATCAACGGTTTCGCCGCTGATCTCGAAGAGGAAGAAGCCACGGAGATCTCTAGTGAGGCATTCTCTCAATATTTTCATCGTGCCCATGCCTTTCCTCCTTTCACGGTTGCAAGACTGTTGTTTGCAGAGCATGCTGGTGTTATATCCGTGTTTCCTAACAGAGGACACGCATTACACACCACCCGTTCGTGGGATTTCCTCGGCCTCGAGAGGAACGGTAGAGTTCCTCCGAGTTCTATCTGGGCACGGTCGAGATTTGGCGAAGATGTCATCATCGGAAATCTCGATACTGGTACGTCCACTTTCCATCGAAAAACTTCTACCTTTGTGAGGTAATTGACTTTTCCTTCTCTCTTTTCATACGAATCCATGCACTGTCAATCCCCTGCTTCAATCTGTGTGTTCATGGGACTTTGTTTCTGAAGAGCTATTCAGCATGAAACAGTCACATTTGACCGAGGAACTTGTTCCATCTCCTCATCATATTCATCCGCTGTCTCTATCCAGCTCTCAAAAGTATGTTCCACCGTTCACATGGTTGACTGATTTGTTCTTGTTTCTTCGAATGTGTGATGTGTGCAGGTGCATGGCCGGAATCCGAGAGCTTCAAGGATGAGGGCATGGGGCCAATTCCACCAAAGTGGAAGGGAATCTGTCAGAATGACATTGATAAGGGAATTCGCTGCAACAGGTCTGGCCTCTTTGTACCCGCTCCTTCTCGAGTCATTTCCATCCTTCATTTTTCATCTTTCATCACATGAAGACTCTTCTGCCTCCTTTTGTTCTCATCTCTGCTGCTCACATCATGTCTACTGAGCTTAGCAGATGCTTCTGGATTGGGTGAACGGCTTTCTCTGTCGGTTTGGACTCTTTTGGGTTGCTTTGGATAGCTTGCAGTTTCATGTGACTTCTTCACCTCTTAAAACCAATGCTGATACAACAGATTGCTAACTTGAAGAAGATGAAAACATGATTAATTCGACTTCAACGAGTTTAAATTAGTCGTTTAGCTTCAATAAATTCTTCACAAGTACTCCATATTGTGCCTTCTTGGCTTTCAATGTTCAAAGCCGCTTAGCATACCAACAGGAGTACTTGGGTTGACTTTGTAGAAGATAATGAATTGAACGAAAACAAGTTGACAAAGTAGGGCTCACTTGCATTTATCTTTTCCTGCCACTATTTTTGGCCATTTCGGCAACATCAGCTGTACTTACAGTAAAGGTCATAATTTCTCATCAGAAATGTGTCTTTTCCATTGCAGATCGGACCAATAGTCTCTTTCCCAGTTCTTCAAACTTGCATCATACATTTAGTGTCCTGGACCACATTTCAGGGCTTAGGAATCTGTTCAATCTTGGGAACTTCAAAGACATAAATCCAGCAGATTCCGCTGTAAAAGACAAATTTAACAGCTGTAGACATAAGCATAGGCTATGAGGAGAGGATTCATATGGTGTCCCCTTTCCTTCCTAG